TGGATTGTATGTTACGACTGTACTCTTACGTCAATTAGATTCATGAAGAAGCACAAAAGTACTTCATATATTAATAAAGAATAGCGATGAAGCTTATTCACATGATTTTTCAATAATTACTCTTTATTATAATAAAATGCAAAATATAGTCGACGCATACTAATTTATTTTACCTGACCCATAAATTTCAGCAGTTATAAATTTTAAGTTAAAATATTCAGGAAAATTTGTCAAATATTAGTTAATTTTGATGATTCCATACTCAATAAATTTGTCATTTATATCACTGATCACCTGCTTCAGCATTTATAAATATGTATGGTCGTTATTTAGCTGCATGTCTTCACTGGAGTAAATATAAAACTGTGGTAGACATTAGGAAAATGTTTGTTGATTATCCAATTAGTGAAATAATCCAAACTTAATTTAATTCACAACCGATTGTCCAAAATAAACGATGTATATTATTTTACACTAATGCTATCAGCCTGAAAAGAGTTTCATTGCAAAAGGATAAACAAAGATTTGTTTTTCGAATTTCTAAGATTACTTAATGATCATTATTCGTACAATCCTGTTTTTAGCTAAGAGGTAAATTTAACAAACTCATTTCATGTGTGTAGACAGAAATTCAAGACATTTATATTGTATATATATAATAACAGTTTGTTGTTAGGTTTTTAAAATGTCGTTTTACCATTTGAGGAAAGCAAAGAATATCAGCTTAGCTTCCGGTTTAATAAAGTGCTTTCTGTTTAACAGTATGGTGTATCATTCAAAATCCCTAGAACTATTTCTTACCATTATGCTTAGGATATTATCTGAATGACGATTACAGGTTAAAAATAAACCTTGAACAGAATGACCATAAAATAGCTACAGACTACGTATGTAGCCTTTAGTTATTGTTTTTTAATTAAACTCTGCAATGAACATATCAAGACTTTTGTCTTGTTAATAATTTACTTTAATTAGTTAATCAGTTAAAAATGAATGTTAATAAGTAACAATTATTATAAATTATAAATCTACAAAGGTGTTAAGAATAGTCCAACAAAATAAAATGACTTTGTCAATTGTTAATGATAAATATAGGACGAACAATTCGATGCTGAAGCCGATCCGAAGTTTAGTGCTTCAGAACAACATTTATTCTGCATTTTATTTTGAGTGGAGTTTTCAATTAAACAAGTAAAATACACCACAGCAGACGATAATTTACCTATCAGTCATGAGAAAATAATTCACGAATTAGGAATAAAAGTGATATTTTTCTATCTCAGTTTCTTTTTATTCTTTTAAAAGTAGAAGCCACAAATACAAATTAATTACATAATCAATATATTGAACAATAAGGTTAAAATACATGAACAACCTGTTACTTTTTACAAGAGGCTGAATTATATCATGCTATAAAAGAATAGTAATAGGAATAATTGGAAACTTATTAGTGGGTTACTGACGAATCAAACTCAAAAAATGTTGGATCTAAATGACTTCCGTATTTAATTTTGGATTCGAGAGAATGATTTAGAAGAAAAGGTTTTAGATAACTGTCTAATTCACTGTTAGTTTTCACCGCAAACTGACATCATCTAAGAAACTGCTGAAAACCACGGTCTACTTCTTGAATATTTTGAACAATCCTGTGATCCTCTTCGTCATCTCTAGCTCATTACCAGTCTAATTATGACGAATACCAGCAAGAAAGATTCATCTAGAAAAATGAGCTGGAGTCGAATAGTCTGCAGTTATAAGTGAAGTATCATTGAAATATAAAAAGAAACTGGAAATGTTTATGGGATTGTGGATCAGAGGTGATGTGTTAAAAGAACGACATGATGACTATTTAAAGTTCCCTCAGTTTTCAAATTATTTTAAAAACGAACTTTAAACTGAACAACTCACACAAAAGCCCTATCTAGTTGCCTATTTAGTAGCTAGAATAAATTTACCACTTTTCTTTTAAAAATTATTTATTCTGATTTTTGCTAGATAACTCAGTATTTCACTGAAAGTATCAACATACTATAAAATTCTCAATTGTTTTCTAACAAATATCCTCTAAATGCACATCAGTAACCGAGCTTCGTGTTGTTTATTCTTCTCTTTCTCTGTGTAATCACAAATATCACTCATTTGATTGACGTCAACAGGTGTCAGTATGAACATCATTTCCGAACGATTTATTTGTTTACATTTTCTACTTAAACAGATTAAGTCTTTATCATGTATTATCTATCGAAAAAAAGAGATTATAATTGTTTTTATTTTTTTGTCTTCATTGATTAATGTGAAAAATTCAAAAGTTTGATTTGATTTCATTTTTTATGTGTCAAAAATAGGAATTTTGAAAGATCTCTTCTATTTACTTGTTTATCTTTTTAGTGGAACGATATAAACAATATGTTTTTTTTATCAAATAATCTAAAACAGACAAGTTGAATTTTCATTTTCAATTCTGTTAATTAACTCTGTGGTTTGTTTTTACTGGTTAATGTTGGAATTTTGATTGGAATTAGCTATTAGTGAACATTGAAAATGAACTCAACATATCAGTGAAAAATTTTAGGGTGAGAATATAAAGATACTTGCAATTCTAAATTTTTAATCTACATTCTTATTCAAAGTGAATTATGAATTTTTTTGTTTTACGTTTAAGAATTTCCTATAATTTAACTCTTTTTTTTCCCGTCAGAATATAGACAAAAACTAAAACAAGTAATTTAATGCACTATTTTACTGTGTTTCATATTATTCAGAAAGTAGGTAAGTCGTACCAATGACTGAATAAGTGTTATGACCAGTATTAAATAGATGAAGTAAGAGTGGACAAAAATTTTGGTCATGTTTTAAATTCTAAAATTTGAAGTTTACGCAGATTACATCACTTCACATGACAGTATAATAGTGACCAGTTATTCAAATCAGTAATTATCAACTATTGGTAATAAGCGGTTTTGCAAAAACATTTCACACTGTTTCATTGTGAATTCATAAGCCATAAATATGCCAATCTTATTACTATTTTATGTATTAAAACTAAATATTAGTAAACGGAATGGTTTTGTTTATATTAATAGAGTGATAAAATTGTCAAGTTCCGTAGAATCCTCTAGCGGTTCTCTAAAACAATCGTAAATAGAATATAGGAAAAACAAACGACTTATTATCTGCTGAGCAAACAACTTGCGTTAGTTTTTGATAGGAGTTGATTTTCATTCAGCCGGACACTTTGTCAATATACGTTCAAGAATGGTGACAATGACTATGCCAAAAATATAAGGATCATGTCTTACGCCGTTCACTTTTTTCACACACTAACATGAATTTTTAAAATTTTTGAAAGTAACTTGATCTTTTTTCGATTCAATGTTTTTCAGAGCTCCAAATTCTCAAAACATTTTAGTAGATTCTACATAGAATCAGTAGCCAACATTGATCTTTACAATATTGGAAATTATTCGAAAGAATTTAAATAGTTGATATTAATATTTGATATTATTAGCCGATTATGATGTTTACTTAGAGTGATTATGTGTACATATTAGTTTTCTTCCGATTGTGCATATGTTTTACACTTTTTGTATAGAATGGTTACAAAATAAAAGGTCTTCAATAAATTAAATGAACAGAACAATCTTATAAATAATTTTTTCACTATGAAGTTTAAGACTAGACTATTAGTTTTTTCCACTTTCTTTCATATTGTAAAGCAAAATGTCAAGCATTATTCTAGTTGCCTCAAATTCACGAGCACAACTTATAAAGATGCAGTTACAAATTGCTTCATATTTTATACTGTAAATCCTGAAATAATGAACAGATTTCAAAGTATATTTTTATTTAAACAGTTAGAAAGTTACGTATGTAAATAAGTTTAATAATGGTGTGACTAGCGTTTTATTGGTATGTTGACAAGTCTACCTTATTCTCCTGACGTGTATCAGAGTATAACTCCCAGTATAAGTGTGCATATAGATCACTCGCAACTCGTTCGTTTTTAGTTTAGTAAGATACTACAAAGCTTTTGGGCGAACTCCGCCTGAATCATTTCTAGGCTTACTGCCTGTCCCAAGCCCGGATAAAGAAGGAGGGTTGGGCATGAGATTAGCGACCCCATTCCGTATAAAGTAAGCTTTACAGCGCGGCTCTTCTTGCGTTATCTTTTAACTTTTTAGGTAAAATTATGCAAAAAAACAACAAATTAGTAGTATTACACATCCGTCGAATCATTTGACTTCCACTGGAATATATTTTTAGGAGCTGAAAAGTTACAGTAGTAGCACTATAAGCTAAAGTGGTGTGATATTTTCTTTTGTACACTGTACAAATTAGTAAACATAATGATTTAACATTTATAAGCAATTTAATTGTTATGAAATCGAAGAAAACGTTAGATTTTACTCACTCTCATGACCTGACATAAATTGATTATAAAACAATAATTGTCATTCTGTATACCACTTTGACTTCAAACTTTTCTTTTTGTATGATTCAAACAGAAATAGGAATCATACGTTTCATAAAGAAAATAAGATCGTCCTTCAGCGATTGGCTTCACACTGTATAATCTTAAATGTTAATTAGAGTTTGTCAAAAACTTTTGCAAAGTCAAATAAATGTTATGAATTTTTAGATGATAAAAAATAGTTTGACTTACTGACTGAGATATTGATATATTTTGGTGCTTTGTGCAATATTAAATACCGATGAGTTTCGTAAAAAGAAAGTCCTTACTAGTACACCAACATGTACATTATACATGACCCATCTCATAGAACCAAACTGAATTTACATATGTAGTGAGCTTGCAAATTAAACAACTTATTTATAGCAGATACACATGCCACAAAATGCTAATGTCCTATTTCAATAATTGTATTTTTTGAAACTGATAGATATCTACATGTAGGTTAAATTTTCATTTAATTAAATTTAAAACAAGTATCTTCGACTAAAATTATTGTATGGCTTATAAATTCATTGTTAATACTTACTTGTGCAACCCTATGTCCAACAGCTGCATCCGTACTAAGATTAATCATTCGTTGTTGAACTCTTGGGAATTCCCATTCTGGTGCATTATCATTCACGTCTAGTATTCTTAGCACAATCTGTGCTGATCCAGTTAAAGATGGTTTACCACTGTCTTTAACAAGTAAATCCATTATGATTAATTCTAATTTTTCACGATCTAATGGCATTAATGGATCAATAAAACTAGAACCACCAAGTTGAAAATTTAGTTGTGGCATACGAAAATATAAATCACCGGACTTTGATATTGAAAACCAGTTAATTAAAGTAGAATGTGCTGAAAGATAGCTTGAATTTTTAAAAATATATTCTTTTTCAATAGGAAGATTCGATTTTTCAGCAAGCATTGAGTGATGTACTGATTGAAGCCAATAATTTAGGTTTTTATTAACCTCATCTACATCACAGTCTTGTGCTTCAATTTTTCCTATACGTACAGGTGGTCTTGCGTCTTCACTAATATTGAATTCGTATATTTGTTGAGTGAACGACGGAATACAATCGTTAATGTCGCGAATATCGATTGTTATGGTAGCATTAATGCTATTAACTTTTGTCGTAGAGTTTTCAATAAATATGCTGGGTATTGCTTTTATGTTATCCCCTCCATCACGAACTTCGAAAGGCAAAGAAATTGACTTGATTATTTCTCTGTCAAAAATCACTAAAGCCTTCAGTTCACCGGTGACTGAGTTCAAGTGAAACCATGGTTGTGGTGGTAAATTCAAATCTCTCATTTTTGCAGGTCCATCATTAGAATTTTGTTGTTTATTAATAGTAAACTGTGGTTTACCTTCACCAAGTAGTCTGTATCGAAGACCCAAATTTCCAGCGTTCGTTGTTGGGTCATCAGCATCATCAGCAATTATCTTAAGAATAACCGTGTCAATAGGAGCCCCCTCCTCTAAAGTACCTGTTAAAGATCCCTTAATAACTGGGGAACAGTCATTCTCATCTGCAACGATAACTTCTAAAATAGCTGTTGATGTATGCCTTTTGTATTCCGATATATGTAACATAGCTCGGTCACTCCTTGTATTGAACGGATATCCATTATCGTAGTCATCACTGTCATGACATTCTATATGCACAAAAAATTTAGCTTCTTGTTCTCTGTCCAAGGAAACTCCAGCTAAATTAATTTTATACCTCAGCCTCCCGCTCTCCATCAAATTCTCACCTATATGTAGTGGAGTAATATGAAATGCTTTGTGATTTACTTTACATACTGGTTCATGAATTTGTGGTTGTCCGGGATTGTGTGAGTAGTTCATTTCCGAGAGTGACTTTATTAGGGACTGTTGGGAAAAGACAGTTGGCATTTCTTTTAATGATTTCGCATAATTTAGTTCTCTTGCGCGGAGTTCAGCAGTTAAATCTTTATCAGTAACTGTCACCGTAGCGACCAGTTGGTCAGGTGGACCATTTTCTTTGATAAGAATAGTTAAATGAAATCGTGTAGGCTGTAGGCCATCACTCAATGTGCTACCATAATAAAAACTTCGATCATTCTGTTCAAATTTCAGTGGAGAGTGCAACTGAATTTTTGGTACATGATCATTTAAATTCATAACATTTACTGTTAATTCTGACTCATCTGTCCACTTACCATCAGTAACAAATATGGGTAAACGATGTTTATGAGTATGTTCAAAATCGACTTGGCCATATATCGATATTGATCCAGTCATTCTATCAATTTGAAATAATTGTTTTGTCTCAGCTGAAATGGACGGTGAGAAACCAAATTTTAGACGTGATCTATCTGTAACATCTTTATCGTTTACAACTGGACGATAAATTTGTGTGCGAACTGGTGAATGTTCTTTAACCCAAATTTCATCAGATCGCTTTAAGAACAATGGTGGATGGTCGTTAATATCAGTCACTGTTATATTTATAAACAGATATCCTGTTAACGGTGTTGGTTTACCTGCATCCGAGGCATAGATCAGAACTTCATGCACTGTCTGATTTTCATAGTCCAGATCCATATTTATCCTTAACCACAAACCGGACCCAGTATTATGAGATGAAGAACCAGTATCAGTAGGTAATCTGTCCCAATCTAAGGAGAAGGCTCCACTTGTTGTTTGTCCATAAATTCCATACATAGAAGTCGTGTTCTCTGGTCTTGCATCTGGATCAGTAGCTTGAGGCAAAGCAATACGTGTCCCTATGTCAGTATGTTCTGTTATAGTTAAATCCAATTTAGGGATAAGTTTGTTAAGTTCAAGTAACTTTTGATGTATAACTGAATTCTTACTTACGTGTTGAGCAGAAATTGTTAGAGATTCAGGAGCACTCCATTCAGGTGCATTATCATTTATATCTAAAACATGTATATTAACTTGTAAAATAGATTCTTTGAAACTATTTTGTCTGTCACGGATATTTACTAAATCAACCAGAAGTAAAAGAACTATAATACATGGTTTTGTATCTACTGAAATGGTTTGCTTGTCATATTCTCTAAAATTAATACTTGTTGAACAGCATAACTGCTCAGGTGAACAAACTGCTTCTCTGTTCACGCGAGAATTCACTCGTAAATATTGTTCATGTGGATTTGATACATCAAGGAAAAACAAAGGATTCGGTTCGAGAAATTTAAACTGCAACTCAAAATTTGAATTAACGTTTAAATCCGGGGATGTCTGAGACACAGCTTCAATGAACAATTTTCTCATGTCAGCTACCACTGAGGTTCGTCCTAATTCCTCTTGCATATTTACAAATACTTGATAATTAGTTTTTAGTTCATTTGCGCAAATTCCAAACTGTAGCTGATAAATGCTAAATATCAAAATTAATAATAAGCCACAATCATGATATGTAATTCTAAGTGAGCTTTTAATATTTATTTTCCTACATTTCATTTTATGGTATCGAACTCATTTCATTGATGTGATGAAATTATTTGAATTCGATAGATATCGTGAAAGAATCAAATATTCCTTTTTGATTTACATTTGAACTGTGTACAAAAATTCACTGAAGTTTCTGCAGTAAACAGCCTAAATAAGTTACATCTCATCATCTGAGTATTTGGTTAAAACAAAGACTTAAGTGAAATATTCCTACATAGAGTTATGATTTGCAATTATCTGATTGGTCCATCGGATGCGGCCAATCAGGTTTCGGAAAGTTCTTATTCCACTACTGAAGCTATAAAGACATCCATAACTATAGTTGGTCTATATGATGGATAATATGATAGCTATATAGAACTGCGGTTAATTATGATTTTAATAAATACTACGCTTTAAAATGTTTTTATAAGCATCTATTTTTAGATGAATTACTTTACATATAACATATATATGATAACAAATGGAAGATATTCGATGTAAAAACGAAGCACAGTCGACAGTATTTGTCACTATTAAAACTGAATAACAGTAAGCTGTTAGACATATCAACTTCATCAAGTATCCATTTATGAGCGAAAAGGAAATCCTCAAAATAACTCCAGACAAATAAGAAGTGCTAAGAAATAAAACAAACCAGTTATATCGATTTTTACTGATAATCATAGATAGATAATTAGTGAGTGTTCAATTTCTGTCAACTTACTAATTAATTCTTGGGGATTCTGTAGAAAAGAGTTTTCAAAGATTTTAGAATAGAAACCATATGGATGTAAGACACTTGAGTATTCTGTTTTCTTTCAATGTTACCGATATTCATTCATCAATGTCAACAATTGAATATTGTTAATTGTTAACTGACTGAAAACCAAATAAGAGATTAACTTTATTTTCGATCAATTTAATTACAATGTTTTTATCAAGTACAAACATTAAACATCTGTACATTTTGTTAAATTTATAGTCTCATCTCAGTACTTAAAGTTTCATATTCTTATACTAGCCATCACATTTAGAACGTCCTCATGTGTTCCCGATTAAGTTTATTTTCTTCACAGTTATTCCAAGCATTCCCAAAAATGATCTTATAAAAGTTATGATTTTAACGAGAGACTGATGCATTTCAATGGTGCTCTGCTAGTTATATCATTCCCTGTAAAATATTGGTTATTTTTCTAAAAGAAAATAATGGTATGTATTTTTTTGTTAGAATAATGTGGATAGGATTCTCCGTTCTAATTTCTTCCTGTGAATCCATATACATTTATTCGAATATGCCTGGAGGCTGCCAAATCATGGGATATATCATTCTTTTAAAGTGTAAATTTTCTATTTAGCAAAATAACACTGTTCAGTATGTAAACAAAATAAGAAGGAAGATTAGAAATGTTTTTCTTCGTTTTCTTTTGACGTTGCCATTTAATTTATTGTTACGACTGGAAGTGACCTGTGTATATAATTACTTGTCATTCAACTAGCTACACTTTTATCCATTGATCTACCCATTTGGATAGTTTGGCTAAACAGCTATTTCCGTCATGCATTCAAAAATTTTAGATGATTTATATTTTTTCCAGTGATAAATTGTTTTGTTAAAATTTCAGGAAATACTCATCATTACACATCATTAATGACAAAATTTATACTTAATTCAGTACAAATTCAATTTATTGATAGATACGAAGGGAAACACAAATAGATACTCACTGTTTATATAAATTCTGATGAAAAATGTTACAAAGTATTCAATTAATTATTCTTCTCAATGTAGTTCATATGTAATGACACAAATCAACATTGAATTGAGAAAATAATAAAACAGAGTAGTGAAATTAGTGACGTTGAAAACGAAAGACATACGGAAAAATGTGTACTTAATAAAAGAATCTTTTATGTGTGATTACTATGGTATAAAATATCTCTAGCACAACATATCGATTTCCATTAGGTGTTAAGTTCTTAGACGTTGTTATTTGCTTGTAAAACTCGAGCTATCGTGCAGCACAGAATTGGTAGATCACTAATTATTACCAACAGCCAGTAACAAATTGTAGTCAGCGCTTTGTATTATCTTCTCGAATCTAAACACGGGTAGCAGTTATCTAAACCGTTATCAGGACTAACGATAAACGTAACATAGAAATTAACTCGAAAATAACTCACAACTCAATAAACCAGTAGAACTGAACATCATGTGAAGACATACTTCTCATTCTTATGGAAATAACCTGTTCACTGAGTCTTAGCTTTTATAAATTCAAATATTCTTTCCTGGTTCAAGAAATTTATTGATCAATCAATGCCGAAAAAAACTGACTGTGATATATACGTACAAGTATTCAAAGCTACATACTGTTTTCATTCATAATTCTACAATGACAGTTATGTAGGTTGCAAACACTTAAGGGAAATTTCTTTGACTGTTAAATACTGTTTCAATGAAATCAAACTATTGATAATTGCGAAGAACATAAATTATTAGGTTGACACATCCATCTACCACTTTAAGAAATAAAACTGTTACTTGAAGCTGAAGGATGTATGAAACTGACTGATGCAGAAGTATAAAAAATAACTTATGATTTCATCTGAACGTTTATCTAGTTTTTGAGTTAAGCAATCCATAGCGAGTAATTCAATGTAAAGATATCAGGTTTTCAGGTAACGAAAGAGACAGAAGACCAAATGGAATAGGCAGTTTATTTAAAAACACTATCTACTAGCCAAAAAGTGTATACCCGAACATGTCTTCGATTTCTCAGAACACTTAAATCAAGCCATAAATCTGTATCCAACATTTCTCGCTTTGGTAACAAATTCAGCGTGATACTCACATCTACTGCATACTACTTATAAGCCCCAATGTGAGTAGTACGCACCATAATTAGCTGACAACAACAAGTGCAACTTTGGATACTAGGAAGGAGTAGGTAGCTATATTTAGATTAAAGATCTTCCCCAGTGTAAATGATCAGCCTGGCAAGGAATCTGATGAAAGATATATAGATTCGGTAGTGACCGTTATATTATAAGACTACTTAAATGTTCACCATTGTACCAACATCCGTACATAGCTATTCCCTAGAATTTCCAAGTTACAGATTATTTACGAGGTTAATTTAAGTATCTGAAAAAAATTATTGAACAAGTATTTATTTTTATCATCAAGATTATTATTGTTCTTTTACTCTGCATGTAATTATTAGTCCAATCTAACATAGAAATATAAAATAGAAATTTTACAAATCAGTTTAATTTGACACGAAACGCATTTTTCAGTTACGTCGAATAACCGAATGCTTGAGAAAACCTTAGAATAATCAATAATTATGCTTTGATACAGTTCGCGAGTTATCGTTATTATGTCAGATACACAATAAGCATTTTTCACACACATTCTCGCACTGAAATTATTAATAAAACACAGATTCACATTATAACACATGAGATACATGAACTATATATGTAATTGAATCAGCTGTTTATTTGAGATAATGACTTCGAACTCAGTTGCTGTAATTTCTGAAGTCAAACATTTCAAATTCGTTCGCCGATGAAAAAATCTTACTTTTGGATCCTTTAATCGAAGATCACAGACTTACATTTGCAACTTCAGTCAATCTTTAACCTAGCACTAACACCATCTGCAACAAGTGACCAGTGTCTTTCTAGACTCAGCAATTCTAAGTATATGTGACTGAAACTATTGTATTTTTTTTGACTTCTATATTGGCAAATATGTTTCCAGTTGTATCAACAACCGAGCTGCCTTACGACAGTTAAATATACCTTTCAATTGGCTAACTTGATCTAACTACCCATCATTTAAGTTTGATCTTCTAAATTAATAGATCGGACATACCTAACAAAATGCGATATTAACAGCAGTGTATGTGTGTGTGCGTATGCAACCGATCGCTCACCTGAAATATATAAGGATGTAAAAATCTCACCGCTTAATTTATTTTGTATTTACCCTATCGATATCATTTCGTAAGGTTAAAGAAAAACTAGTAATTGAACACTGACAAAATCAAATTATCAAAAAAAAAATTGAACTATAAAGTATTTTGAATGTTTGCCTTTTTCAAAAAAATTATCCATAAAATTTGAAGTTTTATTAATTTATTTTTTATTTAAAAAGATATGTTGCTTCTCTAACAAAAAAATCCTGAAACTGTTTTTTTTTACTTATATCGTATTAAAAGCCTAAGTAGTCAATCCTTCTTCACTTATTAAATTCTTCTGTATGTTTGTGTACACTTGAAATATTTACCACCAGGTCATATACGACAAATTAAATTAAATTTCATTTTGACCTTCAGTTTGCCAAAATAAATATATATTCTTCTTTGTTCAATTATAATAAGCTGTATTTTTCAGTTTCCTTGCATTGGTTCAACATAATAAATGGTTAAAGTATAATTTCACTTTTATTCTTAAGGATATAAAATTTATATTTCATTTTCAATCTGAATTCAATGAGAAATATTTATTAAGGATTATTTATTATTTAAAACTATTCTAATGGGCTAATCATGAAATTTAACTATATATATATATATATATATATATATATATATATATATATATATATATATATATATATATGTATATATATATATATATTTGTTTGAATAAATGATTAATTAAGCATTGTACTCTTTAAAATTAAACAATATTTTTTTAAAAATCAACGTTTTTAGTTACTTTTATGGTTTACAAATTAAGCAATAAAAAGTTGTGAACATTTAAGTTGAGAAATAATTTATTGAACCATTTTAATTAGGTCAACTATCAACATTATATCAGTGACCAAGTTAACAAGTTTCCAAATCTAGAAATATTTACAAAAGTAAATTAAATGACAGTAAATCTTTAAACTTATTTAAAAAATTTTATAACCTGGCT